TGGAACAGCACACACAGAGACCACGATCCCAGCTTTCCCCAGATTCTCCTGCATTGTAAGTTGGCTGGACCTTTTCCTACGTGGCCTTTCCCCTTTGCCTTTTGTCCTGTGCACCATCTGATCTGAATCTCCCTCACCCTCTAACTTTCCCCTGATCTTCTCTTCTACTTGCTCCTCCCTGTGTTGCTCCACAACATAAAGCCCATCACTTTTCTGCCTCTCTACAGTTCTGAATTCGAAACGTTTCTCTCTCCACAGACACTGCAAGACCTGCTGAGTTTCTCCGGCAAATTTCTGTTTTTGTTAATTGTTATGATGTTTGTGTTACTCCAGCTCCACGCAACAATTACGTTGCAATTCCCAACTGCTTCTCACAATTATACAATAAAGCAGCTTGTAAATTTAAGTTTGAACTATTATTTAGCAAAGGAAGTGGTAGTCTGTTTGAGTAGCAGTGTGTACTCAAGCAGCAAGACACAGCAGAGAGCAAGTTCTGCGGGTTCCCATCTAATAAAAAAAAACACACATTACCATGAAACAAATGATGAGAAGGCTCCCACTTCACTCTGAATTTCCTGAAAAGTACCTGAATGCTCTTGTGTATTTTGGATGAGCTGGGCCAATACATGGAACCCATGATACTGTTTGCAGAGAGTACAGAAAACGCTGTACTGGATTCAGAACTCCTTGAGGAGGACACAAAACATTTACAGAAACATACTTCACACATGCACCCAGAAACATCACTGCATCTGCTGACATTGGTGCAAAAACCTCTGGCTGAATTTATCTTACAAATGAAGGGTCTAAGCCTGAAACGTCAGCCTTCCTGCTCCTATGATGCTGCTTGGCCTGCTGTGTTCATCCAGCTCTACACCTTGTTATCTCTGCATCCTGCATACTCCACTCTATAAGGAAACTGCATGTCGGCAAATTACCTGTGTTTACTTGCGCAAATGTGTCTACACAGATATCTCCACATTGATGTTCAAATATTGCTTTCTGCACATTGATATCTTTACACCGATATCTATATGCTGTACACTGCCATTTGCGTACTGTTATGTGCACACTGATACTCACGCACTGTTATCTGCGCACTGATACTCACACACTGTTATCTGCGCACTG